CAGCATATGTTTTTGCAAAAGGTAAATGTTACTGCATTATTTCTTTACTGTTAGCCTGGTTTCCCCACTCAAGGATCTCTGGTCAATGTTCATTCCATTTTATTACACCTTGGAGAGTGCTTACTGGGGATGAACTACCCCAAACACATCCAAAAAAGAAAAAATTTACTTATTAATTATTGTATAATTTTATGTTTTCAAATTTAAATTCATTTGCTGCATCACATAAGTGATTCCATATTTATTTGCTCTTGTGATGTGTCAATGCTGTATCGTTTGTTGATGTTATTAAATAAGTTTTTGCTGTACTTACACTACAGGATTTGTTTTATTATTCTGGAGTTAATGATGTTATTAATAAAGATTGTTTTGTCTAAAATTGGAACTGGCTAATCCTCATACCTTTTAGGCTGATATATAAACAAAAATGATGACCCAATTCTTTGTGTTATTGTGAACACCCTTATAATCATCCACTCAACATTGACCTGGTTGTGCATGAGATAATAAACTCTTATGGGGGTTAGAGGTCTTAAGGACAGCTAATCTATTGGATTCAAAATGTTATATTTAACTTTTGCTGTTTTCTTTTCCCTTATTTACAGTTAACAGTTATATTAAATTCAGGCTATTATAATAGCTAACATTGTTAAACAAAACTGGTTGATCTGTTAAACTATTATTGACATTTTTCAGTGAATAGAAAAATTTGACATGCAGGGTTGAAAGTGTCTTCTTAATAGCTAAAACTAACCAAGGAAGTGTTGGAGAGTATTGGAATTCGAATATGCAGAAAAATTTAACTCTGTTACATTTTTAAAACGTTAAAATGATTTACAAGGAATGGGAATAGAACAAAACAGAATATCTAAAAAGAAATAAATACCTAGGAATAAATTAAATAAATCTTGCATTCTTAGAGTTGTTATTTTTCCCGTGACGGTCGTCAAGGCAAGACAAATAAATGAAATATTAAAACACTTTCAAACATTATATGGGGCAAATATACAGTTAAACTGAGTGGAACAAGCTAAAAGAAAAACTTAAATAAAAGGATTAATTCAATCCTGTTGGTGATACCCCATTAACTAATTTTTAAAAACAAGCCATGAAATCATTAGGGGAGAAAACACAGATTGTAAATTATCTTTCTTTTATTTTTTTTGGTTGTGCACTTAGATTATTTTATTTTCTGGTTGTGTAAAATTCCCCTCAAAGTTCAACAAGAATTGTAATCCAAGTCTTAAAAAAACAACAAAACAAATAAGAATTGAGTGCCAGTCTGTCACATGTGTAGCATGGCTAGCAGCTGATAAACTCAACTCCATTGCCTGGTCAAAACAACCTTCCACTTAAACTTAAGCTAAGTGGGGTTGTGGTTTCGTGACCTTGTTCTCAAGATTCATGTTATCTTTACCTGTTTCCTCTTAATAATATATAATATATCTGTTCATCATGTCATCCACTTTTTCAAATTTTAGTGAATGTATTATGCAATAATGCAACAATAGTGACTAGCAAACATAGTATGTTAATGAACATACACAACTTCTTTTTGCCTATTTTTAATTATTTATTAATATTTTGAAATATTTTGTAAAATGAAATGGATAAAATAGTTGGACTAAACATCTCTACAATTAGTTGGACAAATCCATTCCATCATTGGACTAGTATAGTTGTACACCAGCTGTGTGTGCTTCTAATCTTAGTTCTAAACTTTTTCACACCACCTGGGTTTATGACCTCATGAAAAAGCAATTCAAAAAATTTTCCACAAACTTGGACAAATATCGCTTATTCCAACTACTAAAGAGGAGTTATCAAGATTAGTTCCAAAAATTAGATTTGAAGTTCGACAACTTGAAGAGCTTCAGAAAACAATCTTTCCCTCTGGTCTTTTGTTTCATATGATCACCAGCTTTCCCTGAAGTAATTATTTTTTAAAAAAAATATGGCACCCTTTTATTAAAAAATATTTCATGGAATGCAGACTTAAAATTTTATGGGAAATAACCAACTTATGTTGACCTTAGGAGCAGGGGTCCTAAAAATTTTTATCAGGGGGGGCTGATCACTGTCCCTCAGAAACTGAGGGCGTGACTATAGTTTTAAAAAAATCTGAATGACTTCAAATAACCAATATTTAAAATGTAGACCAATAAAGTTAGTATTTCAATGGTAACTATGGGTCTGCTTTTGGCTACACAGATGGTCAATGTCCAGTGGCATATATGTCGCTACTATCCGTGCACCTGTTTCTGTGGCCAGGATTTGGCTATAGTTTGAGGTTAAGAGAAAGGATTTAAAACTTTTTTTTATCAGCTACGAATGATTAAATTTATTTCTTCTAATTTTTCAATTGACCAAGTTTATGTAGTAATGCCACATTTTTTTTCAATGAAGTCATGTTGCGGCCCGCGGAGCTAGGTCAAATAAACGTAAATGTTAACTTTATTGTACGTGACACCAAAAGAACTTTACATCATGAGTCATTCGTATCATATATTTTTAGATTATAACTAAAAGAAATTTGAAATATCTCACATTTTTTGAAAATTCATTGGTTGTGAGATATTTAAAAAATTAAGACGTTTTCAAGACGGGTGGCATATAAAAACAATCTTTTCGTGTAAATATAAGTTTGAAAAGTACAAAGGGAAATTTCGACAAGACCAAGTAAATGACCCAAAAAAATATTCTTCACAGCAAAAGATATTTACTAAAGTGGGTTCAGAGTCAACATGCTATGTAAAAGCTAGTTATGCAGTAGCCATGGCACTAGCAAACAAATCGAAGTCATATTCAGGTGGTGAAATGATTAAAGGAGAGCGTCGTTCAAATTCTGTGTCCAGAAAAGAAAGATTTCACAAAAAATAAGTCTGTCTCGTCAGACTATAACTAGACGTGTAGACGACATTGAAAAATATAATATTGAAGTTAATTTGAAAAGTCGAGCATCTGGATTTATATTTTATGCTCTAGCATTGGATGAAAGTAGATATGGCAGATACTGCCAATTTTTATCAGGTGTGTTGATGTCCATTTTTAAAAGACCGAAGAATTAACGGCACTGTATCCACTTAAGGACACGACTAAATCACGAGATCTAACAACGGATGGTGCTCCAGCAATGGTTGGGAAACACGAAGGTTTAGTCAAATTGAAAACGAGGCCTCCAAAGTCAGCAATGCTTCAATGCTAAATTTTCATTGCATTATTCATCAGGAGAATTTATATTCCAAGTTCCTGAAAATGGATATGTCATGAAAGTGGTAGTCAAAATAATGATCTTCATTAAGTCGATCGTGTTGAATCATCGCCAGTTCCAAAATTTCATTAGTCTTTGGACTCGGATTATAATGACGTTACATTTTATGCAGAAATAAGATGGCTGACCTGTGCAAAAATTTTGAAGAGTGTTTGATTTGCAGCAAGGAATACAACCATTCTTTGCAAGCATATCAATAACTTGAATAAGTATCCCAGAGTTTGAAGACATTGAGTGGGTTTGCGACTTTGCATTTTTGGTCGATATAACTAGCCACCTAAGTGACATTAATACTCTTCTACAATGGAAAGCTCAATTTAATATGAGGTATGATCATATTTATGCATTTCAAATGAAACTTTGGGAACAACAGTTGACAAAAAACTTCACTTAATTTCCTATATTGTCATTGCAACCAGACGTCACACAGGAGGTGACGGATAAGTCCGCTTCTTTGATATCTGATTTAAACCTCCAATTTGAAAACTGATTTCAGGAGTTTCAAAAACCACATGTGCTTTTTTGTGCATTTGCAACACCATTTGCGGTAGACGTGAATTTATTACCAAGAAGATTACAAATGGAAAATTCTGAAATGTGTTGTGATACACAATTAAAGGATGAATTCAATCAAGTTGGTTTGGAAGAGTTCTATAAAACTTATTTGGACAAGGATAAATATTCTACATGCTTTGTCAATGGTTTCGCTATTTGGAAACACTTATACCTGTGAACAGCTTTTTAGTCGTATGAAGCACATCAAATCACAAGAGAGAACACAAATTATTGATGTTCATTTGGAAAACTGTATGCGTGTAGCGACATCAGTTGAGATCAATTTAAATGCAATTTGTTCTGCAAAAAAAAGTCATATACCTACTTCTTGTTTTTTTTTACATGAATCCAAGCAAGGGTTGTCTTGACCATGATCTCACCTTCTGGGAAGCGACCATGTGGTCGAAGCTGTAGCTCGCTTGCATGTTTACTTTAATTAACAAAAAAATTAGGTGCGTGGCCCGGCAGGAAATATTATTTTTGAAATTTGGCCCACCTACTGAAAAGGTTGGCCACCCCTGCTCTAAATACTCTAATTTGTATGTAGAGCAGTAATTCTCAAGCTGTGGGTTGCCTAAGACCACCGGAACAATATATTTATGGTTGGGGGTCACAACATGAGGAACTGTATTAAAGGGTCATGCCATTAGGAATGATGAGAACCACTGATGTAGAGGATCTCACAAACCAGAGAAAAAGGTGGGGATGGGGAAAAGGAGAAACCTACAGTTCACTAAAAGACATAATTCAGCCAGAAAGAACATCTGGGAACTGGATCGTTATCTGCTCAATATCATTAATATTATATCACTATCCGTATAATTACAAATATTTTGAATTTATTTAAAATATTCTCAATTGTCAGAAAAAATATATTTCCAAAATAAACACCTCTGCACAAAAAGGTTACCCACCATTGTAGTTAATCAATTACCAATTATTACCAATAAAAAAAAAGATTTTAGGAAAATCTTGCACATGCAGCTGGGGTCCCAAATGCCAGGCAAGCAAAGAGATTTGAGTTAAAAAACATAGTACAGCAGTATTGCTACTCATATGTGCATAAAATTATCCTCATGCTCTCAGGTATTCACAGTTAGAGGGTAAACATTTTTTAATATACTTTGTTATCAAAAAAAAAATATAAAAGAACTAGTGTAAACAAAGAGAGATTCAATGTCCAATATAATATCTTTAATGAAATAAATGACAATATTGAAATGACAAATGATAACGCAAAGTCAATGAACAATGCTAACTAAGAGAAAATGGGGAGTATGAATAAGCCAGACTGCATTCACACACTTGCTGCCTCCATGTCAACAAATCCAATTTTTATCTAATATAAAATTGAACACAAACGGCTGACTTCTGTAGGAAACAGTCATTCTGGAACTTTGGACTTTCTATTACATTTTATTTATACCATTAATTAAAGAAATATAAAAAAATTATCAAGGCCTCAACTTGCAAGCCAAAGTCATTGTAAAAATACACACAAAGTCATTGTAAAATACACAAACAACTTTTGTTAAAATGATAATAATGTTAATGTTCTATGAACTTTTATGGTAGAAAGGAAACACTCAGGCAAAGATGTATAGGAATGCAGAAATAAATATTACTATCCCTTAAACATTTCATTTTGAAGGACTTCCTTCAGACAAAGATACAAAATTGCAAATTTGTTTGCATACTTTTCTTCTGAAACTTGTCTATCAAAGATTTGTGATTGGTTTTAATTCAATTATCACAGTTAATTGACATAATTATGTAAATATATATTTTTGGGTGACAAGTTCACAAAATTAATAAATTACAGCAGTGGCGCTGTACTTGGCCAGTTGGATCCCTTAATGAACCATATGACATAAATTCAATAAGCTGTACCACTAAAATATATATATATATGTCAAAGTGCTTTCTTAACCCATGATTGACATAAGAACACAACAAATCATGATGTTAGGTAGGTGTATATATAATAATGGAGCACTATAAAAGCTGTAGAGTGCCCACATTCCATGCATCGACTTTTAGTGGGATTGTTATTATCCCTGAATTTCGACAGCATAGTTAGGGAAGCGTGGAGCAGACAATTCACACAAATTAGCAATTTTTTACCTTGAAAGCTATGAATACTTTTATTAAATTTAGTTTCTCCCAATAAGTCATCTATAACATGTAGGATAATGGTTAAATAACAGATTGGGTACTATAAATGACTGCTTAAGTATTCCAAAGCAGCGGTTAACAAACTTTCAAGTTTGGCAGACAAGTTTTGAAATTACACTAAAGTGGGAGATTTATTCATTATATTTTCTTTTTATTTGACCTTAATATTTATATTGTGCAGACCACCTACCTAAGGTTCATGGACCTGTTGAGGGCTGGACTATAGTTTCAAACAAATATGAATGACTTCTTATGCTTGCATCTAATTTGTAATGAAAAAATAACCAATACTTAAAATGAAGACCAATAAAGTTAATAGTATTTCCGGTTCTAAAGCCCATTAAGATTGTGTAACAAACACCTCACAGAGGTATAAAAAAAAATTAAAATAGGAAGAAAGTCTTAAATTTATTTTTGTTATTTTTCCCTTTTGTGAGGTTAAAGCATTCAATAAATAAAATCATGAAATGGCAGATGATAAAGATGAGTTGTTAAAATAATGCAGTAAATACAGAAGGGATGAACAGTCATTACATTTACAGTAACATAGTAATAAAAAAAGTCAATTTCAGATATATAGAGTTCAATGAAAGATAAACTCAAGTCTCAGCCATAATCAAACATACCCAGGCGCAAACACCATGCATGACCATTCAACAAGCTCTCACATTTATAATCAGATTCAATTTCATTTACCCTTAAATGATTAAAAATGCACCCAATAACGGGGACATCCATTAATTTTTACACCTCTAGACAAATGGACACATGCTCAAAATTTGTTTTTATATTAATAGATATTTAAAACAATACCGGTACAAATTAAATTGAAAATCAAACAAATCTTATATTTAATGCAAAGAGATTGCTTAATTCTATATTCTTGAAAGTATGTGTATCCCCCCTCAAATATATTTAGAAGAATTTTTTTTTTTTTGTTGCTGCAAACTTCAAAGATGGCTAAATGTTATAATATAAGAAATTAGGCTTACAAGTTAAATAAGACAATTTTGTGAGACATGGATGACCCTTAATTTTAAAAAAAAAGTATTTTTTATATTAAAAAAGCTAACATGCAGCCCCAAAGTTAGGGCCCCTGCTGATAAGAATATCCCCAAAAGCCTCTTCCTGCTTTATGCAGATGGCTTGATGTTTTTTAAGAACCAAAAGTGTGTAAAATCTGGATGCAGCTTGTTTCCTATTGTGGTTACGAGCCATCTCTTTGAAGCTAAGGGTGTCTGAGAAAGTGAAGGCCTGTTCAAATATCTGCTGCATTTGCTGTGTGCGCTTGCTCCATCTTTTCTCTTCCTGCTCAGCATTTTCAGGCATCTGTTCGGCATCTTGTTCAAGTTCCAAATCATCAAAGGTCTGCAATAAATTTTTTTTTAGAATTAGTAATGCCCGGAGTAAAAAGAATAATAAAACAAATTGTTTTAAAAAGATATTTGGGAAATAACATCCCATATTCAAAGAAAATTATACAAAACAAAGTTTTAAAAAATATTGGCAGATGCTGACATGTTAATGTTATCTTTTCACTTCAATGGATAAAATATGTTAATTATTTTTAAAAATAGCTAACAAGCAAGTATTTAGAGGAAGTTACACCATCTCAATTCATTTCCAAAAGAAAGTAAAAACATTAACCAATTCTGACAGTTGTGACTAAATGCACCGTTTGAGGGATCTGATGGATGCCCCCGGAGCATAGCAACACACCTCTTTTTTTTAAAAAAATAGCAATGAAATCTTGCGCACCTCTTTCATTTTGATTTAAAAATAGTAATGAAACCTAATGTCATTCCCCACTCCTGGTGATGGTTTGTTTAAAGTAAAAAACCTGAAGTTTAAACCCGATGGGTGCTTTAATTTGGTGCATCTTTATCTAGCTTGTGTTCATCCAAGGTGCCAGAAATTGATTTTTTTGGTCAATGCTTGTTATTTGTTTCCCATTAATGTTATATTTTTTCTTATTAAACCTTATTAATTTCTGGATCCATTTAGCATCAGCTCATTAGAATTAATTAATATTTAACAGCTTAAAAAAATTATTTTACAAATGTAAATCAATTACAAAACAGAGGTAATTCCCTTTCCAAGAAGTATAAATTAAGTGTGGAAGTAACATTGCCGTCAGGAATGAGTTAAAAAGAAAATCTAGACCAGGGGTGGCCAAGCAAGTTTACTCTTTGCGGCCCATAAGTAAAAGACCCTAATAAATAAAAATCAAATGAACGATGTATACAATTTTTCTTATTATTAATTATATCTATGTGGGTGAGCGGAAACCAAGGAGGCCCCCAGAACACCCCCGAGCAAAATTAGGAAGCCTCCAGGAAATTTTTTGGATAATTTTAATATGCAGCGATGCATTTTGGCAAATACATTAATTTACTTTTGCATCATTCACTGAAACAGAACAAAAGAAAAGCTAGTGGAATTTTGAAGCCCTTTACCTAGCTTTGTTAATATCAGTCCATTAATTTTTGTAGTTACCAATGTTTCTAAATTCATATTTAGACTTGAGATTACTAAATTGGAATTTGTTTAAAAATAAGAAGAAAAAAATAGTGGGACTGTATACTAAGCGGCACGCATCACAAAAAAGTGCTGCACATATATTATTTAAAATATGCATTAATGATACAGTTGGTAGGCCACAATATTTAACACGGCATGCTGCCTTGGGTTGGCCACCCCCTAGCTAGACCTTTAAAAGCTTCATTTAATGCAAGATGCTTACCATCCCAGGAGCAACTGACTGTGGTGCCACTGATGGTGGAGCTACTGAGAATGGAGCAACAGATGGTGGACCATCATCTAACAGAGGATTAATAGTTGCTACTATGCTTGTGGGGTCTTCTTGGGGTTGCAAAGTGATGTCAGGCAACTGGTCAAACATAGACTGGTTGTCTGGGACAATCTCTTCAGACCTGTTGGAACCAAAATAAACAAGGTTAGATTGGACCGGTATATAAAAAACAATATCCATGTTTTAGCCAGGTTTGTAGTAAAAAAATATAACCAAGATTAAAATTTACAAAAGTGACAGCTAAATTGTTTACGTTCTGTATTTTGGGATTAGTAAAGTTTTCATACTTAGTTCTTAACAAAGGCCAAAAGACAATAACAAAACCTACCTGTGAGATATTTCAGCTGGCTCCTCATGCCTAGTCCTCGACCTTTTAGGTGGCGGCCCTGACATAGACAGGTCTGAAATATTTATTGATGGCTCCACCGCAATAGAAGCTTCAGTTACATTGACAGACTCTTCAATGATGGTACTCATATCTATCTGCTTGGAAGCATCAATCAGTGTACTGTTGCGCTCATTCTCTCTGGCTATCTCAGGAGCCATGTCCAAATCAATTTTAGATGAGCCAGGTTCAAAGTCATCAGAGACTGGCCGACACACCAGGTTTCTTGTAAACAACTATGGAATCATGGGAAATTAAATCAGTAACAGGAAAACAAATATTGCTTGAAGGCTAGACTTCTTTATATAGTTAATGTGTTCAATAAATAAACACATCGTCAAGAAATTGAGCATTTTTTTTCTTACAGCAGATTAATATAAAAGGGATTTACAAACCTTAGTAAGAACTTTAGAAATAATAGGTCTGCCAGGTAAAACAAAGACTTTCTCAACACCTCCAGTCTCTTTCCAGAGCATAAGTTTCTTAGTGGGTGGTGCTAAATCTAAAGCTGAAACAATATCTGATGTGTCGGACAACTGAAGTTTCATTGTTTCACTGGGAATACCTTTCTGTTCGTCTACAATAAGCTTACGCTTCCTTTTGCCTTTTCTTTCTGTGCCTAATAAAATAAGGGGATGACATTTAAAATAAAAACAGAAAATTATTTCATAAATAATATTTTTAAAGCAAACATAAGAAAATAGTAAGTGTTATATAATGAGATATAAAACATATTTCTATTTCAAGCTACATTTAAATTCTGCTATAATGCTAGTCAAATAAATATTTTTAAAAATAATAATAAAATGAAAACATCACGGTGCAATAATTTAGGATGCCTAAAACAATTAAAATAACCTAAACAGTCCAGTGTACATCATTTATGGTTAGGGTACCTACCTGGGACTGTAGTAATGTCTAAGGGTTCGAGGGCAAATGCTTCTTCTTCATTATGAACAAGTGTAGTCTGCTCTCCCATGGTGCTCGATACAGCTGAGGTACCAGCAGCAGCAGCCTGGAGTGGCACTGTATCCTCTGCATCAGCTTCTCCACCCATTGACTTCTTTTCACGTTCATCTAAAAACAAAATTTATTTTTATATAGAACAAACATTGGAATTTTTTTTTATAACATCAAGTAAACTTTCTTGCCTATTAATAAAATTGTTTAAGCACATTTCATAGCGTAAAAAAAATATAATGCAACAAGTTCTAAAATACTTATAATTTGTTTGTTCTGCCATATGTCACAGAAGTAGTACAAAACTTCACTAAGATTCATGTGCTACTTCATATTTCCTAATAACCATATATTATATGATTACAAAGGGGTTTGAAGCAATGTCTAATAAATTTGACCACCAACTCACCACGTTTAGGAGATGCAGCCGCTGCCTCTGATGCATCTTGTCCACCATTAACACTTGACATTGCGGGAGGATCTTCAAATAGCCCCCCTGTCCCCATAAAATTTTGTGCTAAAAAGCAATTGAAAATAAAAATTAAACTTTAATTGAAATGACAAGTGAAGGTCTTGGGGATGAATAATTTAGACTCTGGAATGGACACTGTATCATGTGAGATAAAAGCCCTGATTACATTACTTTTAAAAGAATGACCCTCAGCTCCTTATGAAAAACAACTCTTCATACAAGAGTTTAAGATGTTTTACGCATCCCTATACCCCAATTAATATATATATTTTTTTAAAAATTAAAATATATCTGATAAACAAGAATGAACAAATATTCAATAATATTGCAACCAATATTTTATCCTGTTGGTAAATCATGAATTGGCCAGTTTTATATCTGGCCAGAGAAATTTAAAAATGCTTTTTAACCAATAAATGAAGAGATGTTTAATATTTACCAAAGAAATCTTGATCAATATCTCCAAAATTGTCATCATTGTCCTCATCACAACCATCATCATCATCTGTAAATACATTACGTTTCAGAGACTAGATAAATCCATAGTTAAACTTTTTACATTTAAACAAAGTTCACAAGCGTTTTTTTTATAGAGTAAATACAGTGCACTTGTTCTTAACCCAACAAAAAAAAATATTTTAAGTTCATTAGCGGGTGTTTATGAGCAGGTCATAACATATTTTTATATTCCCCTGCTAAATCGCTTCAATTATAGAAAACAATCAAGAAAAAGTTAACAACCAAAGAAAGCAGTGTACATATTTGGGTTCCAAGTTGTCCTCTTAGTTATAACTGTCATTATGGGCTGTGTTTAGAGAGTATCATGGTAGAGGCATTCAATGATTAAATAATAAGTCAGATTGTTACTTTTTATAAGACCTGTCCTATATGTAATACCAGTAACCAAACTGCGATCTGCACTCACACAAACTGAATTGATTGATTTAGCAGAGTACATGCATGAATGACCAGCGACAATGTATTTGTTTCCAAGCACCAGTCATCTATTTTTGTGAAATGCTAAGCACAAGTCCTATACATTACTGTATGTTGTTTTGTTGAATGATGATGTTTGAGAACAAGAATGTACAGTAATTGAAAACTAAAGCTCACATAGTGTAATAGTACAGGTTTAACATTAAATACAGGACATACCCATAAAACCATCTCCAAATCCATCTTCAACAACAGGAGGTGGTAGATCTATATCCATTGATTTTTCTTTATCTGCCGGGGATTGGGGATGGTGGTCCTCTTTTGGGGGATCAAGATCAGATGACTTGTAAAGTCCATCATCCATATTGTCTTCATCATGTAGCATTTCTCTGTCATCAAAACCCACATCACCTAATGAGAGGAATAATTGGTTTAAACATATTTTATCAATACAAATTATGGTGTATGTGACAGTGAACAAATTTATAATTCAAACATTTAATTTAACAAAGAAATATTAAAATAAAATAATTAAATTCAAAACTTTTATATAAAAAAAAAAAAGCAACAAGACAGGTAGCAACATAAGGGGAAAAAACACACACAGAACTTACTACAGCACTTTCTTTCAGCACCAAAGCAGTTTTGTAGTGGGTACAAGAAATTTGGGTGCGTAAAAAAAAAATATTGTTACACATCTAATTCTCACTACAGATTTATCAAAGTAAGCCTACTTAATTTTCTTGAATTCTTCATCTAAGAATTCTATCTTTTTTAATTTAGAAAATTGATCATACATAACTGAAAAAAAAAGAAACCCAACAATTAAGTCACAAAAATTATATTGAAGCCTGCCATAAGCTCAACTTAATGCTTAACGTTTGTATTTTTTTCTTTTGTAATAAAATCAAGAGCAAGCTCAGTCACGTAGGATTATGCATTGGCTTGACAACATGTCTATAAAAGCTGTGTACCTCTGTGAGCTAGACAGATTTAGTGGTGATAGGAGTGAAATTTTTGCGGTCTATTTTTTATTTGCCTGTTAATTTACTATTTTGTGATAGATGTGTAGGATTTTATTGGACACTTGTATTTATTTGGAACATCAGTGATTTTATTTGCATGCAATTTTGTGTCTGTATTGCACACTTAACTGATAAAGAACCCGAAATTTTAAATGTATCAATGTTATTTTGAATTCTTAATAAACACCAACACAAAGTACTATCCACCACAGTGGGGCCCAGATCAAACAGAGCCCAGTTCTGTAGCTATCCGCCATATCCCCCGTGGGGGGGTGGTGAAAGGAATTTATCATCAATGGTATAGGAAATGTTAATGATTCTCTTCTAGCATAACTATGACAACACACACACACAAACAGAAGATTAGGCTTTGTGCAAACCAAACACTACTAGACAAGTCGCCAAACACTCATGATTCCAATTGGAGACATGCCATCCTTCTGTCTATGTGTGAGTAATAAAGATTGATCTAAATAGATTATAATCAACAATTTTTTTTTTAATAAAGCTTAAAAAAAAAAAAAAAAGTGCCTTTTGGTAAAAAGCCACTCTCATGGGGGTCAAAGGCAAAACAGTTTATATATTTTGTTCACCTTTCCAAATGTTCCTTAGTCCCACCTCATAGATCCTATTTACAGATTAGGGGGGCAACACTCCAATTGGAATCTCCCATATAAAACAGGAGAAAGGGTGGGGAAAAAAAGCAAGTGCAACCTTTGACCCAAAGAAAGCAGCTTCTTACCCTTGGCAATGGACAACCCCCCTATGTCTTGGCCTTTCTTGCTAGGTTGGTCAACTTTTCTGTAGATATCACATTTTTTTGTTACTGTCCCATCCAGTTCAGGATCTTTAGCACAGATAATGAATTCACTATCTTTAGCAGGTTTAACATTGCGATGGAAATGTTCATCATTGCACAAAAATTTATCACATTCATTGGCACTTAATTTATTATCTTTGGGATTGGCAGCCGATTCACCTTTGTTGCAATTAGCTGCACAAGAATAGTTTTCTTCCGCACACAAATGGTCTTTATGATTATGATGGCACAAGCGAAAAGAATGAAGCACTCTTTGTTCAGCAGATTCAGGTTCATCCCATTCTTCCTCAGAACATGAATCCATATCATAGAAACCAGGATCAGACTCCAAGCCGATTCCACTATCGGAATGATCAAGCTGGGGCCTCTCTGTCTCAAATACTGCATTGGATTTTGACTTTCTAAAGGCACTTTGACGTTTGTGACAAGGGCAGTTGGCACATTGTTCACAGAAATCGATTTCCTGAGATAAAGACTTCCTGATGGGGATAGGAGACAATAATGGCTCAGTTGATGAGGTAGATGGCGATAATATAACATGTCTAAGGCAAGGGAGATTTTCACCGCCACACGCTTCTTCACAGCTGCCATTTAAGTATTTCACTGGAGTGGAATGATGTGAATAACAAGATGAGGTTAACAAGATGTTTGGATTTGACATGGAAATATCACAGGTGCTATTGTTCATTTCAACATCAATGCCGCTGTCAAGGCGGGTGCTTCTGTCACCATTTGTTTTAGTCAGCTCAATGAGGTATGAACCTCTGGGGTCATGTTTGCAAACACATTCAAAACGAGAAGACAATTTACACAGCAAACAACTGATATGTGCCGACTTAAATGTCAAAGCATTTACTAATAGTTCACAAATATAATCTTCAGTTAGAGGATGTTGAACAAAACTAATCTTCTCTCCATAAATAATGTGAGACAGTGTGTCGCTAGTGATGGGTTCTCCAAGTGAGTCATCTTCCAAAGGACCTGATAATTATGGAAGTGAAAGAAATAAGTGATTCTTATATACCACTCTTTTTATGAAATTATAGTTTACTACAGCCATGGATTCTCTCCAGTTTATAAGACCTGTTTACCCTCAAACTCTTAAAATTGTACAATATCGTCACAAAAATTTACAATACATTATCCTAATAGCAAATAAATGAATCGCGTGTCTATTGGGATCAAATCAAATTAAGCTAGCGTAAAAAAAAAAAAAAAAGGTTCCCAAAAGGTAAAAAGTAGACTACTGACGTTTAGCTGTAAAAACAACAGCAAAAAACAGGAGCCATCTAGTCAATAGATAATAAAAATAGTCACACCCCCCTTCATACGAACGTACAATAATTTATCCCCCCCCTCCCATTTTTTCCAGGGCTGAATGCTTCTTGCTCCCAGAACATACATAAGCTGCATCACACTGGGTGCTCGTTGCCATCAGGCAGGGCCATGAGAATGGGGTGAATAGTAACATGCGCCAAAAAGGTTTTTCATAGTGAATTAAACTATAAAATCCAATTTACTTTACAAATACGGGGGTCCTAAAAATAATATTTTTTTCGTTTTTACTGGTGCAACAGCGGGGGTGCACATTTTTCTATATGGGTTAAAGCGGCTTCCTCACAGAGATGTTGCGAAATATTACACAATTTTATTTCCATTTTTTAATCCAGTGTAACATTTTTCGGTCATGGTGCAAACAGTAACCCACTTGAGTATCTACTTTTTGCAGTTGATGGTATGACCAACATATGTGTTATATTTATTTTGACCCAACCCTTTATTTTATATTTGTATTCAATTTTTCAAAGTGTACTTGTTAGAATCGAACAGCGAGAGCCTTTAAAAACGTGAATTTGGCATAGGCACTGGGAAACAAATAAATTAAAAGCCCAACAAAATATATGTCCCATGCACGTTGAACATACAGTGGACTAAATATTATGGTAATATCTCAATTACTTAGTACTATCTGAGTATATTTAGCGAGTGAAAATTTGTGAAAATACATAGCAAAATTATGCTGATAATTCCTTCAAAACTAAGTGATATTTTTACAGCATTAGAGATATAACTATTTTATTTTCCGACTTTCAGGATGATTATTGGAGAACTTTTGAATAGGGTATGTACTTTCTACTGAGACCCCCCCCCCCTATAAATACAAAAAGGTTGTGGTGTTAATGTCATTAACTTAAATATTTAGACCCCACCTCTTTTTGTACACAAAATCTAAATCAACACCTCTTCATTCCCCACTCGGGGCAAACATAATATAATTATAGATGGTTCCCCACCAATTGTATTGGTGGATCCATTCACTGCTGGGTGTAGAATGCATTGTACCACCAAATCGTAAGAGTAAACAGGTCTGTTTTATCCATTACAGCACTAATTACAAGTGCTTAGTTTTGAATGTCATTTATTTTTTTTAAATTTAGCTTTAGCCAGCTTACTGCTTTTATTTTAAATATATTGTTCTCTCTACACATGTTGTGTCCTGCTAACATGAAATATTTCACACAAAAAATATATAATGACAACATACTGGAGAAAAAAATATATATCCAATTAATAACATTTATCTGATTTTGAAAGAACATTTCCCTCAGCCCTTTCACAAGTGACCAGGTTTGGTATCAATGATTATGACTTAATGTAGCACAAACATCTATTTTGTTAAAAGTGGATATGAATTTTTAACAGAAACCAACCTTACATACATGTTACAATTATTAAAAGCACTTCATCTAGACACCCTTATACATAACGCTTTAGATACTCTTAGCAGTTTAGCGGTGGTCACAGAAAAAAAAAAAATCCCAGTAAAAACTCGTCATTACAATATTGAATACAGTTTGTAAAACTTAATTTTCTATAACTACTATTCTGTGTCTTTTTCAGATAGTGAGACAGGGGGGGTCACTTTTAAGTGCTTCCATGTAAATTATGCTCAAAACATAGTTGGATTGTTAACAAAATTTGGTTCAGCAGGATACCTCACTTAACATGTGGGTTCCATCAGCACAACAATTAATTTTATTCAGTTACCAAACAAACAAAAAAAAAATTGCAGAAAACCAAAGAATTAAATTTGAATAATTTCCCTATCACTTTGTATATAAATGCTAATAACAAACAATGTGACCTTATCATCACTTACAAGTTTTCACATTGTGTAAACAGTCCACACCCAATATACATTTCCCTGACATTGGGTATGCCTTACTAAAAACAACCATTTATTTCTCAGACGCATGAAAACTTTTTAATAATCAACCAAGCTAAAATCAAAGGACTCACCTCAACCTCATATAATATCACTAAGGCTCTTTACTATATTCAGAATTAAATATATGATTAAAAATATTGAACATTCTTCACAAATACAAAACATAAATAAAGTTTAAGCTAAACTATATGTAGCTGATCATTCATGTGACATAAATCGTAAGTAGGTTAGAGCACAAAACTTACACAAAATTATTGACAAAATGACATAACACCTATAATTCTCAGGATATATCATATTATTCCTCAGAAAACAGATTGTGATGAAGCCCTGCTAGAAATAATTAAGTTTTTTATTACAGGCTCCAAATTTCATTTTCACAATCATTATTATGGAAGAAAAACAACACTAATTTGAGTAACAGAGAACAATACTAACCAAAGCCATCATCACCCATAAGGGTGATAGAACCAAGATCCTCCCTCATAGTAATCTCCTCTGGTCGACTCTGATTCACAGAGAACTGTGCTTGAACATTAATGTCCCTGAAAAGTCACATATTTTACATTTTTAAGTCAAAATATCAGGACAAATTTCTGAGCCAGTTGCTAATTACTATTCATCAACTTCAATTTTTTAAGTCAATATATTAAAAATAATCTAGAATTTCAGCACTTACTCTAAATCTGCAAGAGTCGTCTCAAAGTCATGAAAATTTTCTTGCAATGTGATGGCAGCCACAGCAGCTTCTCTATTTTCTTCGGGAAGATCAACAACTCCTGGCCTAAATGCCATTTTGATCTTGACAAATGCTTCATTGCAATCTGCTAACAAGTATTTTGCCTTTCTTGAGTAGATACGGACAACACCAAGCAACAAGTGACCAGATGTTCTCAAGGCCATTTTCACCTAAGAATAAGGTTACAAAAACAGTGCTCTTGGATAAGCTGCATTACATTTCTTTTTTAAATCAAAAATATTCCTGATAAATTCCCCCAAAAAACTTGTTGAAAAAACAACCCAAATGATGCTTTTAAAGAAATGGTAAAATCTTTTACATTTTACAAATGTGACAGATTAGTTGATTAGTACCTTATATAAGCAAATATCTAAAAGAATTATCTATAAACTGGTGCATTATCAAAGTTTAAAAAAAGGCAGATCAAATTAATATAACTAGTAAGTGAGCAAAGTAACCAACCTTGGGTTTGAGAATGGCCTCCACACTGCTGTCAATATTTGTCTCAAAAACATGTGCCTTTGTAAGTTTTTTGTCCCAGTGAGCCGCAAGCCATATTCGAGCCAGGGGCCCCTTTTTGTTGAGCACAAAACTGGCGTAAAACATTTCGGCCTATTTCGTATTTTCCCAAATATTCTGTGAATAAATTGATTTGTAAATTACATAAAAGATCAATGGTGATTATTTCAAATTGGAAAATATTTTGAGCAGCAAGTAAAGCTGGTTCATAAAAACAAACTCTACTCCTGATATTGTAACAAATACTATTGATAGCAATAAATTTTTAATTACGTTTCTAAACCGCTACCACTGAACTCTTTTTAAAAAGGGAAAAGTATTCCTTGACATTGCCTTATTAAAAAATTTAAATAGAAATATGTCAATTTTTAAAATTTTGTTAAATTTAAAGTCTTAAACTCTAACAGTAAAGATAATATTACTAAAAGTAAGGCTCACATGACTAATTGTTGGGGGAATGAATGAATGTATCAGGGTTGCAAAATTTTGCAGATTAACTAACCGATCTTAATCTAGTTTCGCTTAACGAGTAAGAGTCTGGAACGAATTAAACTCGTTATGAGAGGTTCCACTGTATAACTATTCTTGAAATCATTTAATTTAAACTTTAACCCCAGGAACGAATTAAACTCGTTATGAGAGGTTCCACTGTATAACTATTCTTGAAATCATTTAATTTAAACTTTAACCCCAAAAGTATGGCCTCTTGGCCCCTCAAAGAACATGGGTTCATGGCCCTTTTGCACTTACCTGAGGATTGCATATAAAAATAAATCCCTAGCACTAGGGTCCCTAGCGTATAATAAGCTATAATTCTAAAGTATATTAAAAAGTTGACCAAGTCCTATTATGCAGCTAAATATAGCAGAGTTGGAAAATAATATTCAGGTTTAGCCGTGCATTGGCATTGTTTCTTCATGACTTAGCACCCCATAGCAGTGGTGTAGGATTACTAGGAAAAAAGGATGGTGGGGTGAGGGGTGGGCCTGCGCTTGGTCCTGTCAGTGGCTGAATTTTTCTTTTTATTTAGGGGTGAGCCATATTTTCAGCCAAGTCAAAGGATGAAAAGATGCAAGGAATAATTTAATTTTACCATCAATTACTACACACATTATGAGATACTTGAACTCTAAGACTAAGAACGTTGCCTTCATTCTGTGCAATGTACTTAGCCTAAATATTCTGACCCAGTTGAATAGAAATATTGGGAGAAATAAAGGACTGAAGTAGAACAAAACAAGCCGTCAACTAGGGCAAAAGCCAATGATAGGCCTAATAGTCACTTAAGAGAGATATTTTCTTTTGATGACATGGGGTGACATGAAATAAGAGGCTAAATGCAGGCCAATGAATAGCCCGATACTAAAAAATTTGTTAAAAAAATAGGCCCACTTAAAATGTTAAAACAACAATTTTCAGAAGTAAGGACCTAGAAAAATTAGCCATTTATCATTAAATGCAGACATTGTAATTTTATGCATATAATTATAAGTACATCTTACTTTTAGTCTAATAAATCTCTCTAGTATTTAAATAATGATTTGATCTTATGCTGAATTTTGGGATTAATGTAAATCCAGCACTACAATTATGACTTTGAAAATTATGTGTTTGCAGTTATTTTCTTGGCATGATGCTTGGTTTAATTATGTAGTTTTTAGACTATGGGATCAATCAACGGGGGCATATTGACATTGATGTCTAATAATGTCTATTTATTATCAGATAGTGATTGTAGTAGGCGTAGGTGCAGGCTGGGGCTCCTTAAACTGAAATCCTGTGGGCTTAAGGCTTAACTATTGATAGTTGATACTTAGAGTACTAAGACAGATAATAATAAAAAAGGACAAAATGAAACATGGAACTGAATTCTAAAATATTGGCTTAAAATAATAAAAATAAAGTAGAGTTGACGGCCAGTTAGCTAGCCTATAATGTGCCATCAGGAGTATTTCATTCAAGACTCGAATTCAAATAAATAAAAAGCACTACATATTATACAATATGTCAATAGTATATATTATTATATATATATATTTATTATATATAGTTTTAGAGAGGGGGCGGACGTGAAGCTTCCCGGGGTGGCACATTGTCTCGCTATGCCATTATCTAGTTCTGATGTGACCTGATGTGATATGCCAACTGTGCGGGTATTCAGCTTGTCGTACTTCTTACACACTACTGAATGAGGCTATATCTTGCCAATTCTTGTTAGTTTAGCAGTTTATGTCTAGGGCCTAGGCCTAGGCTTTCATCAGCAAGCCCTTCTCAGGCGTTATTTTTTTAGATTGTTCTTTAAAAAAAACAACAAAAAACATACGCATTTTTTAAACAGATAATTAAAATTACACCAATACCTATTCTGCCATTTTCGATTGACTTGTTTACATGTCTCAATATAATTCAAAGGCTCATTTGTTTCGGCTCGCGTGGCGTAGAGAGACATCAATACTCCATTTTTCGGACGAGCAGGCGTCTTTTCCAACGTGAAATATGTCGTAACAAGAATGATCGTAATTTTTATACCTTTTTTTAAATTTTTTTTTACGTACTGTTAAAAAAAAATACGGATGCTTAGCTAACTTTATATTAAAACTCACCTAAATAAAATATTCCAATAATCGAAACGAATTAAACCATGATGTTAACATGGAAAGTATCCCGCAACAAGCCACTGTTTATTTTCAATTTTTTTATCCATCAAAATGGCGGCACTATCATTTCTGTTCCCGCTTAAATACGAGATTATGCAAATTTGACAAAGGACACTATAAAAATACGCATTAAAAAGTAGTTTTTATACATTTCAATTTCCCTTTTCTTTTAAATGCTATAATTTATTATAATTTATAAAAATAATACTCAGCCCTGAATAATATATAACCTAATAATAAAAATGAAACGCAAAATATAATTAGGATATTTTTGCATTATCAAGTATAGACTAATTTTTACTAAATTTCATCCGCCCGAGCTGACCTGAAAATTATTAAAGTTAAAGGGTTGGACTCGATAAAACTTAAATAGATTATTTTAATTATTAATGAGACACAAACCTAAAAATTCGAAAGGAATAAGCACTAGTCCTTAACGAATACAAAAATCAGAAATTTCTTTGCGTTAGGGACTTGTGCTCATTCTTCATTCTTTTCTTTCATTTTTAGCAATTTTAGGCATATGGCATATGTAGAATAAACATAAAATATTATGTTATTTATAAATAGTCTATATTAATGTAGTTTTTTTGTACCGATGATGGCATTTGCCAAAATTTTTGAATATTTATTTTGTCTTATAATTAGAGCTTAACTGTCGGTGGACTTTTTAAGCCATTAACTAAAGTCATAGTCAAAATATATTTGTTTTCCTCGATCTTACCCCAATTTTTAAGGAAGAAAAAGCATAGACTATTTAATTTCAAAATGTTTATGGAATATACTTATATGGAGAATACAATTATAAATGAATAGAATAGCTGAATAAATTCAATACGGTAACATAAATTTTGTAAATTCTCGTTTTGAAACAAAATGATTTCTCTAAAAAAAATCGTTAAAAATTTTGTAGAAAAGGTGTTAAATTTTGGTACAGTACAGTGGACTCCTAGTGAGCAGTTTTGAAAGCCTTTGCATCTTTGAATTTATGACGTCAATTGAGTAATTGTGGATGCTTACCGCACCTTGTGACACCCTCATACGGGGATGACACCCTGATAGGGGGATGAGACCTTCACCGTCACTAGGGAGAGCACACTCACAGGGGGAGGACACCAAATAATTTTTTTAATAGTAAATTTGACTGCTCGATCAAGTTTCATAGCACATCTAAATTGCAAGGGCAGGGTGCCACCAGAGTATGTTGCCATAAGAGCAGGGTGCCACCGGAGTATGTTGCCATAAGAGCAGGGTGCCACCAGAGTATGTTGCCATAAGAGCAGGGTGCCACCAGAGTATGTTGCCATACGAGCAGGGTGCCACCAGAGTATGTTGCCATAAGAGGAGGGTGCCACCAGAGTATGTTGCCATAAGAGCAGGGTGCCACCAGAGTATGTTGCCATAAGAGGAGGGTGCCTCCAGAGTATGTTGCCGAGAGCGCAGGATGATACCAAAGTAGGCCGACTCGGAGGAGGTCCATTGAGAAGTCTAAATGGGAAGAACCCCTGCATTGACCGTACTGGGTGGCACCAACTCTAGTGATGCCACTTACCATAATAAAAAATTAGTCGACCAATCCAAAATGACCTACACGAAGCAAGCTGTCAGCATATCCTAGCAGCAGTGGCGTAGCTTGGGTTAGTGCCACTTGAGGGTGTGTCGACGCCCTTTTTGCCACCCCTCCCCTCCACGAGAAAAAAATGCAGTCGGCCGAAAATGCCGCCCCTCCATATAAAGAAAAGAAGTGCCGCCCTAATGCGCCAACTAAGTCTTTAAGGAGCTGGCGTTTGCTTGCTCAACAATAACTAGTGTATTTTTGGTGGCTATGGGGGCATTTTAGGCCGTGGTCTTCTGTGACACCGAAAGGTAAGAAAATACACCATTTATACACCATTTTATAAAGTCATTTTTTAAGCATTGAAACAGTTGCAATGACATACAGCTAAATGAGGTGCACAGGTTATTAGTTTCGGCAAGAGAATTAAGGACACCAACAAAATGTGCTGTTTCCATTGTTGTTGTTATCCCCCTTGTTATAAGGTTAACACAGACAACATGCACTGAAAAATGATCAAAGTCTAGGTACCGGTATGAGTGAAAATATGCAGTCAAACTGACGGACCTAGATACTGTAGAGGCGTTGCCAGTGGCTTAGAAAGAGGGCGGAGCTAGCGGCCCACCTCGGGCGGCACTTTTTGAAACATGCTGAGGGGAGGCATTTTTGACCGACTGCAGCGTTTTATTTATTTATTTAATTATTATTTTGGGGGGGGGGGGGGGGGGGGGGGGGGGGGGGGGGAAAGGGGCAACAAAATATAGCCCAAATGAGTCAATGTTCAATAGATAGCACACATATTGCAATGAGAAACATGCCCGAGTCCCCTGGGAAAAAAGACATTTAGAAAGGTTTAAGGATGAGCAACACAAATCAAGTGCACGTATCGTGCCAGGGAATAAAATATTTCGCAAAGTGAAAGACGCAAATGTTTTGATACGTGCAGTTAATCGTTGGCATCAGGGGCGTAGGAAAGGAAGGTTGTTGCTGAGGAGGAAGACCGGACCGGGCGGCACGTCTTTCTTTTTTTGTAGGGGCGGTAGTGGTGGCAATATTATCTTTCATTGGCAAAATTGACGTCATTTTTGTGGCACCAATTGTCAACAAATATGACGTCATATTCTGTTAAGCAATGCAAACAGGCCTATAGATAAAATACCAATTGAAACATTTCGGCTACAAGCAGGGCCATGTAGAGGAGTTTTGTGCCCCGACCGATGTCAAAAGTATGACCCACATAAATTTAAAAATAATTGATGCAAATGGAATTGTAGATTTTTTTTTTAAATCCACCCTTTGCCCCCCCCCCCATGTGAGCGGGGCTCGAGTGATTTACTCGGTTGCCTCAGCCTATGCACAAGTCTTTATCATCTGACCACACGAATTCACGAATTTAAAAAATGGTGTACAGGGCTTAGCCTACCCCATGGGTGGGCAACCTGTGGCACTCGTGCCTAACTTGACACGCAGAGTTATTTTCATTGGCACTTGTATTTGGACAGTATGAACAATTAGCCTACCGTGGGCAGTATGAACAATTAGCCTCCCGTGAGCACAGTGGCGACGCTACACCAGGTCCCGGCGGGTCCCAGGACCAGGTAAAAAAACTTGGGACCTGGCAAATGACCCGGTAAATTTTTATTAGTTACTAATATTGTATATATGCTCATTAAGCGTAAACTACATTACATGTAAGAGAACTTCCATTTTAAATGCCTTTATATGTTTAAATTTTTATCGACAACAAAAGTCAATATAACGTCATAAAATGTAATATATATACAATTTATGTTTTTAACTTGTAAGAGGCCATCCATATATTACGTACGCAAAAATATCGCGAATTTTGACCTCCCCCCCTGTTTTATTTTTAATACATTTATTTGGGACCCACCACATTTTTTTAAGACCTGCAAGGGACCCGCCATGTTAAATTTGATGGCGTCGCCACTGCGTGAGCAATATGAACAATTAGCCTAGCGATGACATTTTTTTTCTTCTAACCTTTAGATCAGCAAATATTTTTAATTGGACTTTCTATTTTTCTTCCATGGCGCCCACGTGCAATGATTTTTCCTATTTTGGAAGATCGTTGATGGCGCCCTAGGCACAAGGCGCCCCGGGCAACCGCCTGAGTTGCCGGTACCTTGATCCGTCCCTGATTATTGTACTCGAGAAAGTGACAACAGCATAAGACGCTGCACCCGTCGTCTCATGTAGACATATATTGATATTTGAGCTGTATCGCAGCATATCTCTCTTAAACATAGAATTACTATTGCTCAGTGTGTTTACCTTTAATCTGGTTATTATAGTATGTCATTGAGATGCAGTAGCAGGGCACGGGTACCATCTGATTTAACGCCAATACGCCACGGGGGAGGGAGCCGGACGCTTCCTTACGGGGGCGCCACGCAAATATTACAAAATGTTTACAATTTCATTTCCCTTTTCAATTCCATGTGCTAGATTAGAACGCTACATCTAGCAGACCCGGAGCAAAGCTGTAACTATTGAAGTAATAACTGTTTACAGAAGCATCTAACAATGATATCTAAATGTCATTTTGTCAACTTTAATGCATGTCCCCCCACCCCCCCCCCCCGCCCATTTCAGTTTAAAAAAATAATGTTACAAAGACCCACTGTTTCTCATTTGTACTTTTTTAGATCTCGACATAGTGTGCCCCGGGCAAAACTTGGTTTCGGCAAGGTCATCGAAAAAGTTTGGGAACCACTGGTACATCAGTTTTGCTAGAATACTCACGAATGGCCGGTGCTCGATTCTCGTTTGATTGGATTACTTTTTGCCATTTCCCTTTTTTTTTCTCTCTCCCTTCATTCCTTTAGAACGGTGTTTCCCAACTTGGGGAAATTTGATTGTTTAGGGTGGGGGGGGGGGGCAATTCGAAAATGAGCTGTCTAGAATTTGAAAATCAACCGTCTACTATGATTTCACTTGTATAATAAAAATGCTGTATCGTTAAAGTCTCAATTTAACAATAAGCGTTGAAAGTGAATTTCAGTGCATGCGCCATTATATGTTTTGAAAATTTACTTACTATGTTTCCTCACCAATTCCTTAGTGATTTCTTCCACAAACCATCATTTAAGTTTCTTCAGTGAAAATCTTATTTTTTTTAAATTAAAAATTATGTATATGATACATGGGTTGGTGGGGGGGGATACGAATTTTAGACAGGCTTAGGTGAGGCATGGCACAAAACATGGGTTTGTGGGGGGGGGGGGGAAACGAATTTT